TTTATATGTGTTTTATGGACCTAGAAAAAGCGTATGACCTGATCCCACCCAACAGTCTGTGGTCATGCCGTCGAGCATGCGAAACAGATGGTCAGCTATTAAGGGCCATCCAATCACTGTATTCTGATATAAGATGCTGCGTCAGAGTAAATGGCGTTAAGTCGAAACCGTTTACCTTTGGCACTGGTATCCGCCAAGGGTGCGGTGTCCTGACCCCTATCCTGTTTGTGTTGTACATGGATAGAATAGTCAGAAGTAGCGAAGGCGATGAGTGTATCGGTGTAACACAAATAAAGATCAGAAGTTTGCTGCTTGCAGACAACCTCGTTTTATGAGCATCTTGTGAAACTTATCTTCACTGCACCCTTGAAAGATACTCTGTCGAGTGCGAAGTGGCCGGCGGCGTGGAAACGCATCTAAAATGAAAAGCCAAGTGCTTTCTCATTGTCTTATCCGGTTTTCTCTTCAGAATAACGGAAAGGCAGTGGAGTAGGTGGAGAAGTTCGAGTACCTCGGAACTGTATTTACTTGTGATGGAAGATTGGAGGCAGAGATCAGCCGGCGAATTGGAGTAGCCAGTGGTGTTCTGCATGAACTAGCCCGACCCATTAAGACTGAAGCAGAGTTCAGTCTGTAAACTAAGCTCTCGATATGGAAGTCGATCTTTATCCCCATACTTACCTACGTTCATGAGTCCTGGACCATGAGTGAAAATCGTCGATCCCGGGTACAAGCGGCTGAAATAGGTTTTCTTAGACGAATCACTAGCCTCACGCGTCTCGACATGCTCTTGAATGCTGATATCCGGAAGAGCCTTGGTGTACAGCCTCTGCTTCTGCAGGTTAAGAAGTCACAGGCTGCGATGGTTTGAGCATGTGTTGCGAATGCCAGGAGGGGAGGCTAAGGAACTATTTCTTGCAATACCGACCGGTAGAAGGCCCAAGCGACGGCCAAGATTAACCTGGTGCAAATATGTGGAAGGAGTCTGTTCCAGACTCCAGTTGTTTTGTGCCGAAGCTCGGACTATGGCACAGAATCAGGAACGTTGGAAGCTCTGTCTGACGCGACTGCCTCCTCGACCTAAAATGAGAAACGGCAATCGGAGATGAAGATGAATTAATATCATGCATTGAATAAATATGAATCATGTCATTTTTGCGCTGCAACTTGGCTACTTGTCATGTGACTTTGGCATGAATATGGGTCCGGTTGTATCTGTGAAAATGTTAAAAATTTGTTTGAGAAGAAGACTCTCGGTGAAGTATAGAAATAGGGTGAATAAACCGTACGGCTGATGAATTAGAGGGAGGTTCCAATCGGAGTGTCCCGACGTGAGGCGACTTTTAATAACCGAATTGAGTTAAATTTAAAAATTTTCACCAAGTCGAAAAAACAATAATTAAGCGGTGAACAGCAGAGTTTACGTTTCAAATAAGATAACATGAAATCAACAATTTCCTCCTTCGGAATCACTGCACACACTTTTTGATCCTTGAACCCCATGGCAACGACGCTGTTCTAAATTCCCGGAAATGCCAGGAAGTCTAAACCAGTTGCCAGCTACACGAAGAAACATTAGAAGTTTTTTGCTTCTTCGTTGATGGCTCAAAAATGCACACTTGTTGTCCTTGTGGAGGATGACACCCTATTGCACCTTTTCTCGTCGATGCTCACGTACAGCATAACAACGATGTTAAAGAAGGATATGGAAGCTCCGATTAGGAAGCACATGCCCGGAAAAAAGCTGGATGTCCTCTCGTAGATGCTGTTGAACAACACTGCGCTGACGACATGTGCCATGTCCATGCCTAAGCCAAACGCCATGTACATTTTGCCGACCTCTTCTGGTTGCACCAGAAGAGCGGCGAACGACTTCATTGTCGGCATAACCATCGTTGACATGCAACCAAAAGTAACAGCCGTGTAGACCATCCAATCTTTTGTGCTAAACGTGAACCACAACCGCTCAACCGTGCATGAAACCAGAGCTATGAGTAGAATAGTTGATTCCCGAAAATGGAGTACCTTTTTAAACACGAGCACACCCACAGCCCCCCCAACCATATTTATGAAACTGTTAACACCTCGAAAAAAGGCCAAATTTTCAGCTGTCCAACTGAAGGGCCGGCGAAAAAGAAACAGGGTTGTAATTGAGTTCTGGAGACCCATGTCCACCAATACGTGCAGAAAGAATACCAAAGAGACGATCAGGATCTGCATTCTGTGATGGCAAGGCCTACGTTTTGTGAACGTAACCCAAATATCTTTCAGAAGACCTTTTATCGTTTTTACCAAATCACTGCATGTCACGCTTTTCTGCTTACCGGTCTTTGCATGGTAGATCGCTACCTTCGTCTGCGACTTAGCTTTCTCTTGTAGGTCTTTCAATTTTTCTTGATCCAGGATACGATTTAGCACTCGTCTCCGCATGATTAACGGGGGTACTTGTTCGATTCTGAACACTGCATAAAAGAAAGCCATGCAAATCATCACCATACCAAAAAGAATTATCTGGCTGAATGATAAGAAGTGTAATAAGGTCGAGGCGACAAATGAACCAATCACCATAGCGCTGGAGTTGACTACACCCATAATCACCATCCGTACTGTTAAATTGTCATGATCTGGTACCGTGTCTGCGAGATAGGCGAATGCAGAGATGATCACTATGCCGATAAAACCCGTGAAGCCAGAAACCATGTTGAACACCATGAGTAGCCACATCGGTCCTTGCACAGAACTGAAGACGATCATTGCTGGGAAGAAGGAAACCAGCATTCCAGCTAAGCCAATAAGGATGTTTGTTTTGCGACCTTGACGATCTCCTAAGGCACCAAGAAACGTGTCAGACAATAAAGCAGGTACTAGATAGGAAACGGTGAGCATCATGAACCAGAAAGTGGACGCTGCCTGAACCTTGTCCTCGTCAGCGCCATTTCTAACGCCACCAATTCGCTGGCAATCGCTGTTTGGAGTTATCTGACGACATAGTACTTGATAAATGCCACTTTGCAGACATACAGCATAGACGGAGAATCCAAAGAAGTTTAAAAACAAGATCGGCTCAACACTGATGGCGGACAATATCTTTCGAAGCTGATCCATCGTGAATCACACGGACTGAATTCCTCTCAAACGCGAATCAAAATATACAACCGCCGGATGCGCGGGTGGAGATCAGCAAGTGATATTCTGACAATCCGTAACTGGGCTAATGTAAAGCTCATGGAAAAATGTGAATTCATGCAAAAAGCACGAACAGCACGACAGGCAGACAGCAATTGTCGCAAAACCTGTCATTGACATTGATGGCCAACGCATCAACGTAATATAGAAGTGGTAAATCAAGCGAAGAAACTGGTTCAATCACACAGAAAGCCGATTATTCGTTGGCACGTGAATAAACTTTGGGGTGTGTTCTCCGGTCCCCATGAACCGTATAAACCTTGTTCTGAGAATAAATATCAACTGTGATCTAGTAAGCATTCTCGAAACAAGGCTGGCTACGCAACCTGTTTATTTCTGGATATGCCAATCAAGTACACGACTAAATGCAGTCTGTTTCTTTTACATGCGTATTTTCTGTATGTCTTAGCTTTCATTTTTCAATGAAATTACTTTCCTTTATCATTTGTCTTTTAAGATTTGCTAAATTTTAGCTAGTTTCGTCTCTGGAATGGCACTGGTGGTGATAACCAATAGGGAGCCATTCTAAATACGCTGACGAAAACGAAGACGCCATCTTGTAGACGGGTTCGGCTTAGAAGGCAGGGATTGAATCAGCCGCGTCACTTGGCCTTAAAATATTGGTAGAACCTAACCCTCATAGGTAAGATAACCAAAAGCTCGGCGGCTTAAATAGAGGTCAACCAGCAAACATTTCAAATCGGTTGTTTGGCGTATTGAACCGTAGAGGTGTTCGATCTTACCCTTTATCGTTCATATGCTTATTAAATTTCCAACGCAGGCATACATATACTCTCTAGGAACTCGTACCTCATTCATAACCTAGCATTTCATTAATGTTCATTCTGTCCATTTACATATGTCTAAGCAAAGTACATTTTCTTCTCCACAGTCTTTAGCCAGTAAAATTAGTAGTAATCATATTTGTCATAGAAGTTGACTATACCCAGAAGGAAAGGCGAAGCAACTTTTTTTGACCAAGCGACCGACAGAAGTCAAAGTTGACGGCCAAGATTAACCTGATGCAAATATATGCAAGAAATTTGCATCTAACTCGAGTTCTCTTCTGCCAAAGCTCAGACTCTGACACAGGATCGGGAACGTTTGAAGCATTATATGACGGATCTGCCTCCGCGACCCGAAAGGAGAAGCGGTCATGGAACATGAAGTTAATTACACTGAAGTTAATTGAATATCTTGCTGACCTGGAGTTCGCCGATCATACTCTCCTTGTGAGTAGAAAGAGAAGTAGGTTATCCCATTTGAATGCCTCTACTTTCAACATTACTGTGAAAGTCAATTTCTTCTTTATCCTCCAGACGGCATAAAATTTGAGGAACCAACTCAGTACAACAAATATGCAAGTAAAACAAGGATGTGCAACGATTGAATAGGTTATTGAATTTATATAGTTACAGCACAAGTACCATGTAATTAGAATAAAATATGGAGATTACTTTTGCTTCAAGTGCATTGCTAACCTGTCCAATATTTGGTCGAAAAAAGAGGTATCCAATATGTCTACCTGCCTCGGTCAGGTCTGTGTTGTTGTTCGATAAAGA